AAAAAAAACAAAATCAAAAAAAGTTTTACCTTAAATGCGTCCCTGAATTTGTTAGACATAATGTGATAAAATATTGGATTAATGCACGTAGACATGTAGTAAAATACACCAGAGATGTATGTGAGTGTTGAATAGATGGCGAGGAGTATTGGCGACTTGGCATGATGGTCTTCGCGAGTGCCGTATATAGCGACAAGTCTCTGCGCGTGGAAAGGCGCCCAGCACACGAAGAACGCGACCACAACTGCAACTGTTGTAAATAAACATACATAAATGTCAACAATTTTAAAATATATCACAACTGTACAATAGTAAAATTCTATATTGCCCTATGTATTTGGTAATTTTCTATTATTTATCAAATAAGAACCAACTCCCGGTACTGTAAACAAAGGAAATAAAGTTTTATTGTTCTTAATATTACTCAAGTTTGTTTAGGAATTTTAAAATTCCGTCCGTCCTCCATGAATATTAAACATTACACAAATCTTAAATACATAGCATAGCATAATAATAATAAATAAATAAAAATACAACTTAAAACGATATTATTTTTTTTACCTTAACATTTATCATTAGCAATATCGTAGCAATTAGTTGGATTGCTATTAAATTGTCACAATGATACAAAAATTTGTTTTGTTTTGTACATGAATATATAAAAAAGCTTACACTCGTATTTCGATTTTGCATGATCATGCTACGTCTTGTTTCATATTACTAAACATTATGCGTAAACAGGTAATCTGATAGTCAATAGGAGTCATTGCACACGGTTCATACAGCTGACCGTGCGTTGACACTCCTGTATCGTTTCCATTAAACATATTTCTAATCTCTTTTGTGACAATAAACGTTTCGAAAAATTCGAGTCAAATAATTTAAAAATCTTTGTAAGTTAATCCTCTATCTTATAGTTTTTACTAAAAATAGTTTTTAATTAAATACTTTTACAATAAATATTAATCTTTTAGGATAGTATGATTTGCAATTTTACAACACATTTATAACGTATCAAAATTTATGATCTATGAACAAAAAGTAACATAATTGCCGATTCATTCAAAATAAATACGTTTTTGTTTAAACATTTGCATTACAAAAGTACAATTTAAAAGTTAAAACAACGTTCAAAACGTAAACCTTGATCCCTCAAGTTTGCAAAAACATTGTTACATTGAGATTTTTTTTTCACTTTAGCTAATAAATCATAAAAAATATATCTTCATTGCAACTATATGATTACACTTCGAGCTCTTAAATTAAACGTGTTCATAAGTACAAGTCAACTTGTTTTTGTTGGAGTTTTTATTTATATTGTTATATAATGCATGCAACAAAATCTATTGAAACATTAATATACGGATAAAATCTAAAAGATATAACATAAAGATCGTAAGAGGATAATATTTTAAATAAAAATACTTTTACTTGTTATTTGTAAAATGTTTTAAATATTAGTTGTTAATGGTTCAAACACACGTATATTATTTACTAATACATCATCACGTGATTCCCTAACAATAACTTTGTAGCAATAATATTTTTTTAATGATTTTTAAGGTTCCGTACCTCATATGAAAAAACGGAACCCTTATAGGATAACTTTGTTGTCCGTCCGTCTGTCTGTCAAGATCCTTATTGTCAAAAACGCGTGAAGGTATCAAGCTGGAATTTATTTAGTAATACAAACTAAAGTCGCTTTGCGATAAATACTATATACGCAGCATATACCAAACTTCATCTTTATGCAGGTGTACAATATGTCTAGTTAACAACTAAATAAACTAGTATCCAGTAATTATGTTGTTATACAATCACTGCTAACTTATAAAATGAAGTACCAATAGTTAAATTGTTTGTCAATGGTACGGACATTCGATCGCGTAGTCGAGGGTTCAAATCCCACCATTCGAATACCTCGTTAAACATATTCAAACCAAGGCTAAAGTTTCGTTGGAGTACTTATAAGAAATATAACTAAAAGAACAAAAACTACTGATATTTAAAAATAAATTACTTATGCAAATATTTGCGTGACAACCGAGAAGGGTAGCAACCAAGAATGTTTTACCTAAACAAATATAAGTCGTAACAGAAAACGATGCGGGTTTTATTTGCTACGGTCTACTTTCATTATTTTATTAAAGGATTTATAATTAGACGACGTTATTTGTTACTATTGTGAAATATTACTGTTAAAAAATACTTACCTAACATTTTAATGACCCTTCTGGTTGATTGATGATTTTTTTGCCGTACTTTGTCTATTGAAGCAAGATGTCTCACTAAATTCGGATGTTGATGTTTATTTCTATCGACTTGAGATCTTTTCAATCTATAACCTATCAGAGAATAAAGAGCCGTGATAGCTATCATTGGAGTGAAGAAGAAAAAAAATGTCGAAATTTCAAAGGAATGAGGAATTATCACACGTGTTTGAAGACACATAATGACTCCCTGGTGATTCCGCAGACCGAATTGTAGCGCTTGCGGTAACGCTAATATGAAGGATGCTATCCATAAAAGAATCACATGTTTTATAGCCCTCGATAACTTTGACATTTTATGGGATACAAAGGGGTGACAAATTGCCATGTATCTCTCGGTCGTGAAAAGAGTTATTGTTAAAACACTTGCATTTGTCGAAGTTTCGGCGGCCAGGCCCCGAATCACACAGAACGATTGGCCAAATATATATGGCCATTTTGACCAGATTGAATAAACCTCTTGGGGCATACCGCTTACTAATAAAAGCAGATCAGATATAGCTAGACTGAACAAGTAATAATTTGTTGCAGTACGTAAGCTCTTGTTACGTACTATTACTATACAAGTGAAAATGTTTCCTATTAACCCTGTTACAAATATCATTGCATAGATTATTGTTATTGGTAGAACTATATACAAGGAATCTCGTTGAGGTCCAAACACGAGAGTAGGATCTACGGACCCTATGAGGGTAATATTCCGAGTAACATTAGATACGTTTAGACTCATAATGTATGATTTTAATTATTTGTTCATTTTCTTAATGTGCTCATCTCACAATTGTCGACAGGATTTCCATGTTTCTTCACATCAATTTATCTGTAAAAGAAAAAGCGTTAAATGTTATATCGTATATTCTTTTAGATGTAAATATTATCTTTTGCCTTTGATCATATCATAATATACAGTATTCATAATTTTAATACGTACTAATTGGTATTATTTAAAATAAATGATGTGGTATTAGCCTGATGTTATTTACTTTGTACCTATTATAACTGTCACCTTATTAATATAAGGGCAGAAATAAATACATATATCTATTTAGTCCATTTTCAACAAACCCATAATGCTTTACCGTGAAATTTCATATCTAAAATACTTGTATTATAACAAACAACATTATTGTCTGTTATTTCTAAGGAAATGAGAGAATATGTTTCAGTTCAATGGAAACCCAAAGTAATAATCTAAAGTATGTCACACTAGGTTTGAAGGTCATTTTATAACTAGTCCTAGTCATATCGTAAACTAATGGAAAATTGTGAGAAGAAAAATTGATAGCACGATGTTTCATGTCAAGCGTGTGAAGGTTTTATAAAGGCTATAAAATAGTAACGCGGCCACGAGCACTGGGCAAATCTCACATGACAGCGGCTCATGTTCACGATTTAATCGTTAAAATTTAAATAAAAATGAGGTTATTGAAACGTTATAACTTGTTAATAGACAAATAAAAGTATCCGATGTCCAACAATTAACAAAGTATGATTTAAATAGAATTTATTTAAACCTTATTGGTGATTTGATACCAGCTTAACCGGAGTTCAGGGGTTTTCTTTAAAATTGTTCGATCATATGATTTATTACAGAGTTTACGTAATGGTAATCCTAGACGTGCAAGCATTTTATATTTGATAGTATTCAAGAATGTTACTTAATATGTTAACACAATAAAGTATTGTTGGGAACCAGTATCAATTAAATTGGAAACATTATAGCTAACTTGTTTTGACGTAAGATAAACGGCGGAAACCCGTGATCTTATTATCCAGTTCTAAATTGTAAAAAGGTCGGTTGGAGTGTTGAGGTGAATTCAGTTGTATGTGACTCATAAACACGACTACTGAAGTTTTTATTCATGAGAATTTCTCAATACAAAGTGCCACTATTAGTATAGTACACTCACATGGCTATTATACTTCCATTTGAAAAATTACATTTGAATAATGATCTGTTATTGTAGCCAAATCTTTACTTGGGACGTACTTTATGTAAATTAATAAGCTAATAGAGGATAAAGACCTTAGCAATTTTCGTATATATAAAAATTACTTTGCTTATGTCTAAAGCTTATTGTATTTTAAGCAAATGAAACAATACACAGGAATTACGTACATATTATATAACAGGATGTGGTCGTTTCGTGTGGCAGAGGACTAAGTACATACATAAAGTCTTTAGGCCTTCCTAGGTCCTTACCTATGTATGTCTCGCAGGGGGCAGACAAAGGATAATGAAGATGTAACAAAGAGTACAAAAAGACTAAATACGTAACCTACACAACTTGAAACTGGGTTTTCCCAAAAGTAAGAAAACCTTTACTTAGAAATTTCGAGTCTTCAATCAAAGATCGAGAAAAGTGATACATATTCTTATTGTATAAGTATTTTTCAATGTTAAATTGTTGTTTATGAATGTTTTCTTATATGTGTCAATTGATATACAAATTCTAGGAAATTGGTCGATTTATTTTCAATATAAGCTAGATATCAGAAGTTATTTGATATTTATATGGCTGTTGCCTATTTATTGTGATAGAAAAAATACAATAACGTTTAGTTATTGGGACGAAATAAGTTTGGATTTATTATACGCGTAATTTGTTATTAACTTGTAAGTGATAGACTCATCAGGTAAGAGTAGTCAAGTACAATTCTATCTGCGGACTTATACATAAGAAATGATCACAGCCTACTGTTTAATACCTATATTATTTTTAATTTATAAATTAATTCTTATTTTAGTTTGCTTTAAAATTTTAGAATTAAATTGTCTTTCTTGTAAACTTATATGCAAATGAATAAAAAGAGACGAAAACCATTAAGCGTTTACGACATTAACTCAAACGGATAGGCAGAGATTACTTATTTTCTTGCTTAGTTACGCTTCTTCCATTCGTGATTGTTGGGAATTCGTACCTTCAACAGCTTTTAACTTTCTTTGTTACATTTTTTGTGAAATATCTATCGAAAACACCTTATATAACATTGTTACTTTTTAAATTCTTTGATCGTTTCTTTCCTGATTATATTTGTAGGCTTGTAAAATTTGTATAAGATAGCAAAGATTAGAAATTTCTTTGTCTAAGAACAGTTTAGTATCGATGAAACACACTTAATTACGCCACGATCACAGACTTTGTCTTTCGACAACATTCGTTTTATGGACAATAAAACTTAACGGCTTGTAGAAAAGTGTATTATGTTAGAGGAACATTCTCTGCGGCTTCAAATACTAATTTGTTTAATAATAATTTAGATACTGGGGAACAATGTGAATAAAAAGTGGAAGTTTTGTTTTTGACACGACAATATATCTTAAGTTTTGAATTACAAAATACCCTCTCACGGTTTTTTCATTGTTTTTTCACAATCTTACAGTTTTTTTTAATTGTTTTACCTTTTTGTGTTTAGTAGTAAACTAACGGCCGCCCGCGTTTCCGTCAACGCCGAATTAAAAAAAGAAACTTTATAAGTAGCCTATGTATTCCTCCAAATTATGATCTACATATGTGCCAAATTTTATCATAATTTGTTCAGCCGTTCCGGAGATACCTTCAAATAAACATTCATCCATCTAAACTTTGGCATTTATAATATTAGTAAGTTTAAAAAGGGAAACTCCTTTTATTGGTATCATCGATCACAATATCCTGTACTAGTTACATTATATAAAAGTGAATCATAAAACCGTTCAAGGTATCTATTATGTATCGTTTTTACATAATCAATTTTATGTGTGTATTTATTCATCTGAGAAATCGGTTACGGAACCACTGAAGCACATTTTTCTGATCGAAATTTATTAGAACGAGTAATATATTTTATTATAAATTATGACCATAGTGTAGTTGTTTTGGAAGTATATGTATGCGCGGAATTAAAGAAAAAACACAATTAGAAGCCTATGTGTCCTTCCAGACTAAGTTCTATATGTATGCCAAATTTCATCGAGATCCGTTCAGCCGTTCTGGAGTAACCTTCAAACATCCAACCATCCATCCATACAAATATTCACATTTATAATATTAGTAAGATTGATGAACTGTTGAAGTCAAATTTATTATTATTTTTTGGTAGTTTTCTTTCAATAGTTCAAAGGGTCAGACTATTGTATTCAAATTAATATATACAACATAGGAGCATAATTAATTCAAGGTTGACATTCAAACGCTAATATTTAACCTCTAATAGCTTGAGTATAGACCAGTATAGAATATATTCTTAGCATTTTGTTTCCAATATAAATCTGAATATTGTAAAAAAATTGGATTTTCTACCTTATTTTCCTTTAATATGAATAAAAGATTGTACAATTAGATAATCTTTCATTACATAAGGAATTATCCATTTCATATTTTGTTTATGACGGAAAGAAATTTTATGATTGAGACTGTCAGAAAATGTACCTCTATATTATTTAACCTCTTCGCAGCCAAAGGAAAACAGCATAGCTGTATTTACTACAAGAAAAATAGGGCTTGCAGCTGTTATGTCGATAACTTGCTATACATATTTTTTTCAAGGATTATAGATATTCATGGATTATACATAAAAAAAATCAGATTTAAAAACAATAACAACGAAAAGTAACTTATTATTTATCCCTAATCTTTATTTAAATTCAAGTTTATTCTTGTATCCTTTTAGTCGATCCCTATAATTTTGTAAAAATGTATACAAAAAAGTAACAAACCACAAACAAACAGGCAAAATGAAAGCGTTTGAAAATTTCGGTGTCGGCAAGCAGATGACATTTTTATAATTTGATAAAATATGACAAACGTTTCATAAGTAGCATAAAACGTTCATCTTACTTATTATAAATGCGAATGTTTAGATCAGTCTTTCCCAAAGTGGGTGATAACGCCCCTTGGGGGCGTCTCAAGTCTCAAGTTGCGGGTTATAGTAAAAGTTTCGTTTAGAATTCTCCGTTAATATACATATATAGGTCACAATAATTAATTAATTTAATTTGAAGTTGTAATGGTTTTAAATATGTGAAAATATGGGAGCGCTAAAAAAATATTTATTCTCAAAGTGGGCAGTAGACAAAATAAGTTTGGGAACCACTGGTTTACATGAATGGATGGATGGATGTTTGTTTGAAGGTATCTTTAGAACGGCTCAACGGATCTCGATGAAATTTGGCATAAATGTAGCACATATGCTACTTATTAAGTTTTTATCATTCCGTGCAGACGGAGTTGCCACCGACAGCTGTTTTTAAATATATTCAACTACATATACATTTACAGACAAAAAATTAAGTTTTATATTAATTATAAACAAATCTCTTCACGCGTCGCGTCACTAGCAGTCTTGTTTAAAAGGCAAAGGCTTGGTGGTTTCGTACATTTTATCTTGTTCCATTTTAATTAATTAGATATTATGAGACAAACACATGCCTTAATTAAATATTTTTTATGTTTATATATTTCATACAATAAACGTTTAACTTTGACAAATGAAAACGACCAAGTTTTGTTAAGGCATGGTTTTGGTCTTGTATAGATGACGACGGCCTATGAAGGATTTCTTTGCTTAGCAACGCGATCGCGAATATACATATAGCCCGTTTATCTACTCACCTTTGAAAGTACTAGACGTATTGGGTAAGATTTAACTTATTACACAAATTACACTGAAACACATGTGAGTTAACAGTGGCAGACCCCGCTTTAACATTTTCGTACGAACTGGACGGTTCGCCAGGTGCAATACCACAACTATGAGACCACAGAAGACAGATGTGAAGTGGAAGCTAATCCGCGTTTCGTCGGACGAGTGTGCGTCCCAATTTTAGTCCTCTTTCCC